AAAAAATTAAAATACCCTTAAAATATAACCAAGCAGGGGATACAAACTGGTGCAGCCATTCTGGAAAACAGTATGGAGGTTCCTCAAAAAATTAAAAATAGAACTACCTTATGACCCAACAATTATACTACTACGTATTTATCCAAAGGATACAGGTATGCTGTTTCAAAGGAGCACATGCACCCCAATGTTTATAGCAGCACTGTAAACAATAGCCAAAGTATGGAAAGAGCCCAAATGTCCATCGATGGATGAATGGGTAAAGAAGATGTGGTATATATCTATACAATGGAGTATTACTCGGCAATCAAAAAGAATGAAATCTTGCCATTTGCAACTACATGGATGGAACTAGAGGGTATTATGCTAAGTGAAATTAGTCAGAGAAAGACGTATCTTAAAGATACAAAACAGATGAACATAAAGGAAAGGAAGCAAAAATAATATAAAAACAGGGAGGGGGACAAAACATAAGAGACTCTTAAATATAGAGAACAGAGGGTTGCTGGAGGGGTTGTGGGAGGAGGGATGGACTAAATGGGTAAGGGACTTAAGGAATCTACTCCTGAAATCATTGTTGCACCATGTGCTAACTAATTTGGATGTAAATTCAAAAATAAATTAATTAAAAAATATATGACTCAGCAATTGCACTCTTGGGCATTTTCCCCAGAGAAATAAAGATGTTCACACAAAAACCTGTACACAAATGTTTATAGCAGGTTTATTCACAGTAACCCCAAACTGGAAACAACCAAGATGTCTTCAACAGGTGAATGGTTAAACACACTACAATATATTCATATCACGGACTACCACTTAGCAATAAAAAGGAGTGATCACAACTAACACAACAGAAATACCAATAATTATAAGAGAATACCATGAAAAGAGAATCTATGAATACTATGAAAAATTATATACCAACAAACTGAACAATCTGGAAGAAATGGAAAAATTCCAAGAAACTCACAAACTTCCAAAACGGAAATAGGAAGAAATAGAAAATTTGAACAGACCCATAGCCAGCAAAAAAATTGAATCAGTAATCAAAACTCTCCAATAAACAAGAGTCCTGGGCCAGATCGTTTCCCGGGGAAATTCTACCAGATATTTAAAGAAAAGTTAATACCTATCCTTCTAAAACTGTTCCAAAAAAAAAAAAAAAATAGAAATGAGAGGAAAACTTCCAAACACATTCTATAAAGCCAGCATTACTAAAACCAGACAAAGACCCCACTAAAAAGGAGAATTACAGGCCAGTATCCCTGATGAACATGGATGCAAACACTCTCAATAAAATACTAGCAAATTGAATTTAACAGTACATTAAAAGAATTATTCACCACAGTCAAGTGAGATTTATTCCTGGGCTGCAGGGCTGGTTCAATATTCACGAATCAATCAATGTGATACACCACATTCATAAAAGAACCATACGATCATCTCAATAGATGCAAAAAAAAAGCATTTGATAAAATACAGCACCCATTCTTGATAAAAGCCCTCAACAAAATAGCGATAGATGGAACATACCTCAACGTCATAAAGGCCATATAGGAAAGACCCACAGCTAATATCATCCCCAATGAGGAAAAACTGAAAGCCTTTCCCCTATGGTCAGGGACAAAATAAGGATGTCCACTCTCACCATTACCACTTAACATAGTACTGGAAATCTTAGCATCAGCAATCAGACAACAAAGAGAAACAAAAGGCATCCAAATCAGCAAGGAAGAAATCAAACTTTCATTCTTTGCAGATGACATGATACTACTCTATGTAGAAAACACAAGACTCCACCAAAAATTGCTAAAACTAATACATGAATTCAGCAAAGTTGCAGGATATAAAATCAAAGTACAGAAGAAATCTGTTGCATTTCTATACACTGATAATAAAGCAGCAGAAAATGAAATCAAGGAATCGATCCCACTTGCAACTGCAATAAAAACAGTAAGATACCCAGGAATAAATTTAAAGAAAGAGGTGAAAGATCTGTACTCTGAAAACTATGGAACAGTTATGAAAGCAATTGAAGAGGACACAAAGAAATGGAAAAGCATCCCATGCTCATGGATTGGAAAAACAAACATTGTTAAAATGTTTATACTACTCAAAGCAATCTATATATTTAATGCAATCCCTACCAAAATACCACCAGCATTTTTTGCAGAGCTAGAACAAACAATCATAAAATTAGTATGGAACTATAAAACACCCTGAGTAGCCATAGCAGTCCTGAAAGTGAAAAACAAAATTGGAGGCATCATGATTCCAGATTTCAAGCTATATTACAAAGCTGTAGTCACAAGACAGTATGGTCCTGGCACAAAAACAGACACATAGATCAATAGAACAGAATAGAAAACCCAGAAATGGACCCTCAAGTATATGGTCAGCTAATCTTTGGCAAAGCAGGAAAGAATATCCAATGGAAAAAAGACAGTATCTTCAACAAGTGTTAGGTGTTGGGAAAACTGGATGGCGACATGCAAAAGAATGAAACTGGACCACTTTCCTATACCATACACAAAAATAAATTCAAAATGGCTCAAAGACCTAAATGTGAGACAGGAAACCATCAAAATCCTAGAGGATTTTGCAACCTCTTTCACCTCTGTCAGAACACCTTCTTACTGGACACATCGCTGAAGGCAAGGGAAACAAAAGCATGGATGAACTATTGGGACTTTATCCAGATAAAAAGCTTCTACACAGTGAAGGAAACAATCAACAAAACTAAAAGGCAGCCCATGGAATGGGAGAAGATATTTGCAAATGACTTATCTGATAAAGGTTTAGTATCCAAAATCTATAAAGAATTTCTCAAACTTAACAACGAAAAAGAAATAATCCAGTTAAGAAATGAGCAGAAGACATATATAAACACTTTTCCAGATGGCTAACAGACACATGAAAAGATGCTCTATATCACTCATCATCAAGGAAATATAAATCAAAACCACGATGAGATACCACCTCACACCTGTCAGAATGTCTAAAATTAACAATACAAGAAACAACAAGTGTTGGCGAGGTTGTGGAGAAAGGGGAACACTCTTACACTGTTGGTGGGAATTCAAACTGGTGCAGCCACTCTGGAGAACAGTATGGAGGTTCCTCAAGAAACTAAAAATAGAACTACCCCATGATCCACCAATTGTACTATTATGTATTTACACAGAGGATACAAAAATATGGATTCAAAGGAGTACATTCACCCCAATGTTTATAGCAGCATTATCAACGATAGCCAAAGTATGGAGAGACCCCAAATGTCTATCAACTAATGAATGGATAAAGAAGTTGTGGTACACATATACAATGGAATATTATTCAGCTCTCAAAAGGAATGAAATCTTGCTATTTGCAAAGACATGGATGGAGCTAGCAGGTATTATGCTAAGCAAAATAAGTCAGGCAGAGAAAGAAAAATATCATATGAATTCACTCATATGTGGAATTTAAGAAACAAAACTGATGAACATATGGGAAGGCAGATGAAAGAGGAGAAAGGGAAATAAACCACAAAAGACTCTTAACAATAGAGAACACATTGAGGGTTGATGGAGGGAGGTTGGGGTGATAGGCTAGATGGGTGATGGGTATTAAGCAGGGCATGAGTTTTGATGAGCACTGGGTGTTATATATAAGTGATGAATCACTGAATTCTACTCCTGAAACCAATATTGCACTGTATGTTGGCTAACTAAAATTTAAGTTAAAAAATAAAATAAAGCAAAAACTTAGGGGCGCCTGGGTGGCTCAGCTGGTTAATCGTCTGACTTCGGCTCAGGTCATGATCCTACATTTCCTGAGTTGAGTCCCACTTCGAGTGAGCATGAGCCCCACTTCGGGTGAGCCCTGCTTCTCTCTCTCTCTCTCTCTCTCTCTCTCTCTCACCCTGTCTCTCTGCTCCTTGCTTACTTGTGGCCTCTCTCTCAAAAAAAATATTAAAAGGTGTGAAATTTAATATACACAACAACTTGGACAAATACTTGCCTCATTTGTAAAAAGGTATGGAGGGGGTGGGTCTCAAGGGTCTTCCTGGTTCAGAATTCAAGATACAGGTGACCAGATTGGGGCAGGATGAGAGCATATTTGGAATAGCTTAGGGTTTATACTTATTTTATATTTTATTTTATGTTTTAGAACTTTTAGAGATTCAAAATCATCAGGAGTGCCTCAATGAATGCCAGCTGTTATGTTTCATAGGGGCGCCTGGGTGGCTCAGTCAGTTAAGGGTGGGACTCTTGATTTCCACCCAGGTCATGATCTCAGGGTTGCTGATTTTTGAGCCCCACATGGGGTTCCGTGCTGATGGTGCAGAGCCTACTTGTGATTCTCTCTCTCTCTCTCTCTCTCTCTCTCTCTGCCCCTTCAGCCCTCTCTCTTTCTCTCTCAAAATAAATAAACATTGGGAAAAAAAAGAATTGTGGCTGTTGCCTTCCTACACTGAGATGGGACAGTGTGAATTACTGTGAGACCTAACATGAGAGGAGTCTGTGTTCCCAGGAACATAAGGAAATGTAAAGGTTCACCATTCAAGGGACCTGAAAAAACGAGAAGGCAGCATCGCCATCTGAACACTAGGAGTGATGGGAAGTCCATCGTCAGAGCACATTTGTCCGGTGGGATAGTATTTGTCACATGATTCAAGCCTGACCAGTGTCTAAACTGTGTTCAGGTTTGGAAATGAAGTAGGGAGTGAGAGTCCGTTAATAATTCTACAAGACTAATTGCTGCACGTAGTATTCAAAATCGAGATTTTAGGCATGGGATTTGGGGCCATGCTAAAAGCAGAAAAAAACGGTTGCTATGGGGTCTAACGGGGGCGTGGTTAGGGGCTCTCAACCGCCGATCCTAGTGCCAAACGTTCTCAAGGGGGCGTGACCGTGGGGAGACAGTAGCCAATGACAGGGCCGTGAATAGGGTGGGGCAACCAGCCGGTAAAGAGAGCCAATGCAGCAATTGGGCGAGGCTGAGGACGTAAGGACCCATAGCGTGCTCCGTCTCTTGAGCTGTTAGTTTTAAGTGTAGCTGGTACTTCAGCTACCACCAAACTTCGAGTCTCAGCTGCCGTTAAACATCATGGAAGATTCTCAGAGACAGCAAGAGCGGATGATACGACGCCACCTTCTTGAGAAGGAAGAGCTTCAGGCCCGCATCCAGGGCATGAAGAACTCGGTCCCCAAGAGCGACAAGAAGGGAAGAAAGCAGTTGCTCCTAGACGTGGCCCGCCTCGAGGCTGAGATGGAGCAGAAGCACCGGCAGGAAATGGAGAGGTTCCAAGAGAGTTGCCCTGATAGCGGCAACCTCGATTCCATCACAGAAGATCTTGCCAAGATGGATCTTGAGAACCAGCCTCCCAGCATGTCGAGGGCACAGAAAAGGCGCGAAAGAAGGGCAGCCCTCCAGAGAGAGCGCCAGGGGAGCATCGCCGAGGTGGAGATGGAGCATCTGGCCAGCTTCCGCCGTGAAGAGGAAGAGAAGCTCGCCGCCATACTGGGACCCAAGAACCTGGAGATGAAGGACATCCCGGCCGACCGCCACTGCATGTACCGCGCCATCCAAGACCAGCTGGTGTTCTCCGTGACCGTGGAGAGCCTGCGGAACCGCACCGCCCTGTACATGCGCAAGCACGTCGACGACTTTCTGCCCTTCTTCAGCGACCCCGAAACCGGCGACGCCTACAGCCGCGATGACTTCTTGACCTACTGCGACGACATCGTGCGCAAGTCGTTGTGGGGAAGCCAGCTGGAGCTGACGGCCCTCTCGCACGTCCTGCAGACCCCCATCGAGGTGATCCAGGCCGAATCGCCCATCATCGTCATTGGGAAGGAGTATACCAAGAAGCCGCTCACCCTCGTCTACTTGCACTACACCTGTAACCTCGGGGAGCACTACAACTCGGTGAGGCCGCTGGAGGCTGGCGCCGTCGGGGGCGCGGCCCCGCGGCTCTTCTAGGCCCCCGCGCCAGCTGCTGTGGCCACTGGAGCCGGAGCCGAAGCCACCGCCGCACCTCCCCAGTAGGCTCCGTTTTTTTTTTTGTTTTTGTTTTTGTTTTTGTTTTTGTTTTTGTTTTTGTTTTTTTGTTTTTTTTTTTTTCCTTCTCCTTCGGTTTTCTCGGTTTTTTTCTTGGTTCGTTTCACTCGAATGTCGAACCCCTCTCTCCCTCCCTCCCCTCCCCCACCCCCACGCCCGCGCTCTCCTACCTGGCAGTTCTTTCTTCTCTCACCCTTGTGTTGCTTTTGAGGGGTAGGGGGGCGGGGAGGCTCAGCACACGGGTAATATAATATCTGTATTGTTCTACCCAAGGGGAGGGAGTAGGTTTGCTAAAGTTGAACCGCCTCTCGCCCTTAGGGGGCTTCGCCTCCTTTACCAGTGAGAATTGTTCGCCTTGCACTTACCTTTGAGATAAAAATAGAAATTTGGTTTGATGCCTTCTTAACTTGGGAAAAAGCAGTGGAGCTCAGGATCTTCAGATTGTCCCATGAATGTATTATATTGGATTACTTAAAGTTGGAGTTTCTGTGATCGAAATGCTTTGTGAATGCCTTTTGCTTACTAGTTCTTTGGGAAAAAATGTATCCTGGTCTATTTTGACGGTTACTTTTTAGAGCCCAGCTGGGCTCTTCTGGAGATGTCTCAAGTTATGGATAAGAGCTCCTCTAGTATTTTGCTTTGTTTTTTTCCATACAAACTTGTGTGGTTCCCAATTAATTTTAGTTATTTAGGTATTTGCTAAATTCTACTTAAAGCGTTTGTTAAACTTAGAAATTAAATGTAAGTGCTAAACATAGAAGTTAAATAATTAAATTTACAAAAATTGGCAGGTTAGATAAGGTTTGCCCTAAGATGCGAAAGATATCAGTTTAATTTCCTTTCTTAAAGATAGGAAGGGATATGACTTCATTCAAGTAGTTGATCCATTTCATTGTGTCTACACCAAGTATGAAGCAAAAGGAGACATACTGATAAGTAGCTTAACTTACTACAAGGCTGAGATCTGAACCAGTAAGTTTTCTTTAGTCTGTGACATAAAAGGATACAACTTTATTTCAAATAGTTGATCCAGTTTGCTGTGTCTACAAGTGGTGTAAAGTTTGAAAGATCTGAACTTAGCATGTTTTCCTTAATTCTTAGAGATAGAAAACTTTTTTAGAAGATTTTAAGAAGTAAAAATAGTTGATACATTTTGTTACATCTACAACTGGCATGAGGCAAAAAAAGTGAGCAAGATACTTTTGTTGGTATCTTTTGTTGGTTGAGGCTCACTGATATCTTGAATTTGCCAATAGAATAGTATAAGTGAAATGATTTGCAATAAACAACTTACAATGTTTTAAATCTTTAGATCCTGTATTTCAGTGAGTTTACTTAAATTCATTGAAAAAATTTATTGTACACAGCAAATGTTGTAAAACAAAATATATAAATTCAAAAGAATTTTTTAAATATTATGCGGCTTGTTTTAAAAATAAAAGTTTTTAAAATATCTGGTTCTCTATTTTTGTGTAGCTGACTTCGTTTACATAGAGTTTGCATCCCAGGATTTACTTCAGCAGAGGAATCCTTGAGGGTTAGGGAGAGGAGTTGGGAGACAGATGAGACTTTGGAGAGGAGGCCTGGCCCAAGGTCTTGGTGGCAGCCTGGAGTGGAGTGTTTCCCAGAAAAGGATTTAGGGAGGAGTTTTATCTAGAGGCTGCCCTGATTTGATGTTTCACTTGGTGAAAAACATCATGAAATGGTTTTGTTTAGGGATGTTCTCATTGCTATGCATGAAAAAGAACTCCCACTTCCCAAAACTCACTGATCCAGGGCTACATTGCAGAAGGGAAAGAAGTACCGCTGTTTGGGGGGAGGGGTCCCAAAATGCAAATAGGGAAATCCTACCAGATAGCTCAGTGTGTAAATGTGCATCAGATAAGTTTCACATGGCCAGCTAGCTGAGGAGAGGAGGGCCCCTGAGAAAACCAGGGATTGGGGTGCATTGTAACAAGAAGGCCTTTTATAAGGGTGAAAATCCTGGCTGTGGAAGGGAGACAAGGCCCAGAAGGGAGGCATAACCTATAGAAGGGTGCCTGGCTGGGAAGGAGGGTGATAATTGGGGAAGGGGTCAGCCTAGGAGGAAGAATGGGACATGGCAGGGGAAAGGGGCAGAGGCTGAGGAAGGGGACTAGCTGGCAAACAAAGCATAGGCCTGGGTAGAGGAGGGAAGCTGCATGGGGTATAGGGCACAGGTGGGTGAGCGGGACCTGAGTGGGGACATAGGTAGAGGCTGGTAACGGGCTCTAGAAATGGGAAGGGTGCTCCACTGGGATGAGCTGCATTGGGTAGGGGAAGGGGCTGGCTAGGGTAGGGGACCTTGATGGGTAGGGGGACACAAGCTGGGGAAGTGTACCTGGCTGCAGGAGGATTCCACTTCCCTAGTGGTCCAGGCTGTCAGCAGGAGCATAGGCTAGTGAAGGGTTTCTGGTAGGAGAAGGTGGCCCAGCTGAGGTGGGTTGTGCAGCGAGGAGAAGGGAAGCTGGCTGGGAACTAGGTCACATTCTGGGGAAGAGATCAGGGTAGGGAGCGAGAATAGAACTGAAAAGGAGGCTGGGTGGGGAAGGACACACTGGAAGGAGGAATAGACTGGTGAAGGGACTGCCCATTGGGGCAAGAGGCCTGGTTGGAAGGGCACACTGGATGATAAAGGGGTCCATGGCTGTTGGATGGGGAAATGGCTGGGCCAGGCTGCCTATCCAAGGGAGAGACACTTGCCTGGGAAAGGGGTCTGGAAGGAAAAGGGGCCTTCTTGGGGAAAGAGGCATTGACTAGGAAACAGGGTCTGATTGGGGGAGGACTGGACAGAGAAAGAAACCTGGCTGATGAAGAAGCCACCAGGCTTAGAGAGTTGCACAAGGCTGGAGAAAGGGACCAGGTTGGGAGGGGGACCCAGCTTGAGAAGGGGGGTGGCTGGGAAAAGGGACCTGCCCCAGAAGGGGGTAGAGGCAGCAGAGGGGGTCCTTGCTGGGAAATTGGGCCTAGATGGGGAAGAGAGCTTAGATAGTAAGGGACACAGGCTGGAGAAAGGACATATGGTGTGGAAGAGGTCCTGGAAGGAGAAGGGAGGCTGGCTGGTACTGGGGAGATGTCTGGGGAGCACTAGCTGGGAAAGGTGGCCTGGGAATAGGGGCTTAGGTGGCCAAATGATGCCAGGCCAGGAATGCATGTTCATCTGGAGAGTAGACCCGGCAGGGCAAGGAGGAATATCTTGGGGAAAAGGGAACAGGCAGGGGAAAGGGACAGGAGTAGGCAAGGGAACCTGCCTTTGGACTGGGGCACACGGTGGGGAAGTAGGTTTGTCCAGGAAGGGGCTAAGGGGGAGAGGCTGGTCAAGGGAAGGAGACCTAGTTGAGTTGGGGGGCAAAGGATAATAAAGGAGCTCTTGACTGTTAAAGGGGGGAAAGCCTGGGGAAAGACACCCAGCCAGGGAAAGAAATCTGGCTGGGAAAGTAGGCATAAGCTGGGGAGTAGGACATCAGCTGGGGAAGGGACCTAGATGAGGAATGTGCCTGTCTTGTAAAGGGAGCATAGGCATGATAGGGTGACACAAGCTGAGGACAGGAGACTGGTTGGAATAGGGAGCACTGGGTGGGGGGGGGGGGGGGTGAAAATCCCCTGGCAGGGAAGGGTGGCCTGACTGGGGAGGGGCTCTGGCAGGGGAATATTCCTGGGGGAGATCTACCTGGGGAGGTACAGACAGACTAAGAAAGGAAGCTGGTGGTGGGAGAGGTTTGAATGCTGAGAACCACATAAACTGGGCAAGGAATAGTAGGCAGGTTAGTGGACCTAGCTAGGAGAGGGGACCTAGCAGGTGGAGAAGCCTGCTAGGAAAGGGATTCTGCCTTCTAATGAAGGCATGTGCCCTGACGGAGGTCATGGTTGAGGGAGGGCACATGGTTGAGAAAAGGGACCTAGCTGAGGAGGGGGGCACAGGATAGGGATGAGAGGAGGTCTGGCCAAGGAGGAAGAATAAGCTAGAGAAGGGACTTGGCTGAGGAAGGGGGCCTTACTGGAGAAGAGGCTTGTCTGGGAAGATGAGCATAGACTGAGGAAGAGGATGTGGGTCCTTCAGTGAAGAGATCCTGGCTGGGGGGGAGGAGTCTGGCTGGGAAAGAGCTCCTATCTGGAGAAGGAGACTTGGTTCAGCATGGGGGCACCTGCTGGTGAAAGGGTCTTGGCAGGGAAAGGTCACATAGCTGGGGAGGGACTTGAAAGGTGATTCAGAGCTTCAAGAGGAGGATGTTTGGCTGGGGAAGGAGGAACGGGCTCTGAAAGGCCAGTGAAGGGGCAGCTCCTTGGGAAAGTGATCCAGCTGAAGAGGGAAAAGCTGGGCACAGGCTAAGGAGGAATAACTAGCTGGGGCATGGGGCCCAGGGAGGGTTGCTGCAGATGGGGATACTGGCTGGGAATGTGGCTCAGTTGCAGAGGGGGTGGGTGGGGGTGGGTGTAGGTAGGTGTAGGGGAAGCCTGCCTAGCAGGGAAAGGGAGCCCGCCTGGGGACCTGACCGTGGCTGGGGAAGGGGCCTTAGTTGGGGAGGAAGGCATAAGTAGATGAAGAGAGCCTGACCAAGTGAGGGGACCTGGCTGAGAAAAAGAAGGCATGGCTGGGTTCTACATTGTAGGTAGGTTAAGGGCTTCTGATGGGGGAGGGGTAATCTGCTGGGGCAGGCTGCATAACATGGGGAAGGAGGACTACCTAGAAAAGGGGGCCTAGCTCTAAGGGGGTATTGATGGGACAAACAAGGTTAGGGAAGTGGACCTGGGTGAGGAACGGGGAATAGGCTGGTGACGAGGACCAGGGGCTTGGCTGATATACGGTATAAATTAATATAGGGTAAAAAAAAGGATTCCTGGCTCTTGAAGGAGGAAGGGCTAAGGAGTGGGACCTGGCTAGGGGAGGAGATACTTGCTAGGGAAAGGATACTGGAGAGTTCTCTGTGTATAAAGTAGGGGGTTACCGGATGGGATGGGGATGGGTTGAGGTGAAAGGGT